GGCTGTGGCAGCCCCCGGGGCTCTCCTGTGCTCGTCCAGCAGCCCCAGCGTTGCCCCACTCTCCTCTTGCAGGGTTTTATTGACTGATTTACTCCCGGTTACATTTTCCCCAGAGAACTTGTGAAACGCTGACCACAAGTGGGCTGGGAGCGTGGGCAGGGCTGTGCAGCCAGGGGAAGGATTTCAAGGAGCTCTGGAGCAAAGTTCTAGTGGGAACCTGGGGCGGGGAGGTGGACCAGTCCCAGTGGTCCCGGTGTCCCGGGGTGTCCCAGGGTCCAGAATTCTGGAGGTCGGGGAGAGTCCCGGGGCGCTGAGATTCAGGGAGGTCCCGGGATCCGGGAATGCTCTGGGGTGATCCCGAGGCACTGAGGTTCAGGGGGATTCCAGGATCCCGGGATCCAGAGGGGTCCTGGGGCACGGAGGTCCGGGGATGTCTCAGGACACAAGAGGGTACATGGAGCAAGGACAAGGTTCCCCTGTGCCCATGATGGAATGCCTGGGGGGTGACACAAGCAGCCCCCCGCTCCTCCCCCGGTCTCTGCCCTCCTCGGGACAGCAGCTCCCGCTGACGCCCCCGCCTCGGGCAGGCGGGAGCTGCGTCCCTTCGGCGTGCAGGTCTCCATCATCGAACCTGGAGGCTTCCAGACGGGAATGACCGACCCCGCCCCGCTGGTGAAGGGCCTCGCTCGCCTCTGGGAGCGGCTCCCGGCAGAAGCCCAGGCAGCCTACGGCCGCCGCTACCTGGATAAATGTGAGTCCATCCCCACAGCGCACCACCCCCCTGCTGACCCCACCTCCATCGGCCTGACCCCCTTGTGCCCACCCAGATGCCGAGAGCACCACGCTGCTGCACCGCCTGAGCAGCTCCCGCCTGTCGCTCGTCACCGATGCCGTGACACACGCGCTGCTCTCCCGCTGCCCCCGCAGCCGCTACGCCGCCGGCTGGGACGCCCGGCTCATCTTCCTGCCCCTCAGCTACTGCCCGGCCTGGCTGTCCGACACCATCCTGGGCTTCTTCCTGCCCATCCCGGCCAGCGGGATCCCCTGACCAGAGCGAGGGGCCGTGGCTGTCCCACACCCTCGAGAACGTGCTCAGTAAAGGCGCTGCAATGCTGGGAGTTGGAGGAGTTCGATGGCCACTTGGCCCCGGTGCCGGTGACCCGTCTCACCGTGGGGTGCCGTGGCAGGGTCCGGTGCCGTGGCAGGGTCCCGGTGCCGTGGCAGGATCCCGGTGCCGTGGCAGGATCCCGGTGCCGTGGCAGGATCCCGGTGCCGTGGCACGGTCCCGGTGCCGTGGCAGGGTCCCGGTGCCGTGGCACGGTCCCGGTGCCGTGGCACGGTCCCGGTGCCGTGGCAGGGTGCCGGTGCCGTGGCAGGGTCCGGTACCGTGGCACGATCCCGGTGCCGTGGCAGGGTCCGGTGCCGTGGCAGGATCCCGGTGCCGTGGCACGATCCCGGTGCCGTGGCAGGGTGCCGGTGCCGTGGCAGGGTCCCGGTGCCGTGGCAGGGTCCCGGTGCCGTGGCACGGCTCCGCTGCCATGGCACGGTCCCGGCTGCTGCCTGTGCCCCGAGCAGCCTCCTAACCCGGGACACCGCGGCTCGGCTGGCAGGGAGGGGCTGGGAAAGGCTGCGCGGTGTTTATCCATCCCCTGGGCTCGTGGGCGGTGATCCCTGCGCCACTCCTGGAGCTAATTAAGAACTGATTAGCGATCAGTAGGTGAGGGGCAGGTCTCTGAGATTCTGCACTTGCCGGCGGGACCAGAGAAGCGCCAGTGCAGATCCCCAGCTCCGGCAAAGGCCGACCCCACGCCTGACCGGGACCCTCGAGACGCCACGGGGAGGGCGAGGATGAGGATGAGGATGAGGATGAGGATGAGGATGAGGATGACCCGGGACCTTGCGCAGGCTGCGTTCAGCTCGCCGGGCTGTTTCCCCAGTCAAAGAAGCTTTTCCGAAAGTGCTGTTTTTTGGCTGAGAAAGTACAACGTGGCCGGCAGCACGTCGCGTTTGGGGCACGGCGTGTCCCCGGGGACCGGGACGAGCCGTGCCAACCCCCCGGGAGCGGCAGCCTTGGCCGCACCTGCCCTGGCACACCCGTGCCCGCAGCCGGCGACGGCTGCCCGGGGAGGGAAGCAGCGGGAGAACGGCAGATCCCCGGGCTGCCTCTGCCTGGAGCCCACTTCTCCAGCTCCTGAGGGAGCCTGGGGACTCCTGGGCACACATTTGGGGTGCTGAGAGCCTTGGGGCTTGCGGGAGGGATGGGCAGAACGGGCTGAGCCGCCTGTCCCAAGCCCGCGGCTCAGCTGGCTTGGAAATACAACCAGACCTGGCTATTGCCACCAGGATCAGCAGCCCCTGCACAATCCTTGACGGCTCCCAAATCCTGCCCAGCCCCAGAGTTCGGTCTGGAACTTGCCTGACCTGTTAAACAGAACCAGCTGAGCATTGCTTCCCCCTCGGGTGGGGCAAAGCCCCCCAGCCCCTCGGTGGCAGAGCGGCCCCTCACCACCCCCACTGGGCCAGCTGATCCAAAATGTGCCCGGGGCCAGCACGAAGCTGCCGAGTTCCTGTTTGGAAGCCGGTCCTGCCGGGGTTGGTACCTGCGCACGGGGTCAGCAGCGCTGGGCTTGTTGTTGTGAGTCCCGACTTATCAGTGCCCCCGCGCTTCCCCGCTCCCCGTGCCTTCCTTCCGAGCCAATTGTTGATCCCGCAGTCTTGGCTGCACTTGAAAAAAAGGAGATTTCCTGCAATTGTTTCGCAGGACTTGCAGCCCGATGCAAAATTTTCTGCCTATCAGCCCCCTCCCCAGCGCCGGGGCAAGGCTTGAGCCCCCTGGCTTCCCCTGCCAGACCGCGGGGCAATTACGGCTCTGTGATTAATTGCTGCATGGCCAGAGGTGCTTCTCTGGCGACATCCATCTGCCATCGGCTCCTGCAGGAGCGCTGCCGAGACGGAGAGTTCAGCTCTCAGCCCTTTCCCCCCGAAAAGAACCCTGAGCTCACCCTGATATCGGGGTGCCATCAGGGACAGCTTTGGCACCTGTGTTAAAACCCACCCCAACCCCTCAGGATTCCCCGTGCCGGGGCAGGAGCTGGGATGTATTTTCCCCACAGAAGGATCCAGGCAGGATCCAGCCTCTTAGCCCGGTGGGGTGGCAGTGGAAGGGACACTCAGGAAGCCTCGGGGACCCTCGTCCACCCCCAGGCACCTGCGGCTTCCACACCGACACCTGCCCGTGGCCTCCCCGCGCCTGTTCCCACCCTGCGGCAAAATGAAATGGGAGGCGAGTGCCGGCGCTGGAAATCCAGTCCAATGTCCCCCGCGCTGGGCTGTCGCAGGATGTTGCAGCACGACGGTCATTTCCTGCCCAGCAAGCGGCCACCAAGCCCACCCAAGCTCCGTGCCCAGAGGCGCTCGAGCTGCCGAGCCGAGAGGATCCCCCCGCTCCCGAACAGCCCCAGCACAGCCCTCGCTCAGCCGCCGGTGAGCCAGCAGCGACCCTCCTCCCTCGTGTCCCTTCTCCCGTCCGTCCGTCCCTTCTCCTGGCTCTCTGTCCCTGGTCCTGTCTGCCTGTCCTTTCTCCCGTTTGTCTGTCCCTGGTCCTGTCTG